AGACTATAGACTAGACTATAGACTAGACTATAGACTAGACTATAGACTAGACTAGACTAGACTATAGACTAGACTATGAGACTATAGACTAGACTATAGACTAGACTATAGACTAGACTATAGACTAGACTATAGACTAGACTATAGACTAGACTATAGACTAGACTATAGATAGACTAGGATAGACTATAGACTAGGCTATAGGATACACAAGACAAAACTATAGACCAGACTATAGACTAGACTATAGACTAGACTATAGACTAGACTATAGACTAGACTATAGACTAGACTGTAGACTAGACTATAGACTAGACTGTAGACTAGACTATAGACTAGACTATAGACTAGACTATAGACTAGACTATAGACTAGACTATAGACTAGACTATAGACTAGACTATAGACTACTACAATCTAGACTATAGACTAGACTATTTACTAGACTATAGACTAGACTATAGACTAGACTATAGACTAGACTATAGACTAGACTATAGACTAGACTATAGACTAGACTATAGATTAGACTATAGACTAGACTATAGACTAGACTATAGACTAGACTATAGACTAGACTATAGACTAGACTATTGACAGACTATAGACTAGATTATAGACTAGACTATAGACTAGACTATTGACTAGACTATTGACTAGACTATAGACTAGACTATACTAGACTATATACTAGACTATAGACTAGACCATAGACTAAACTATAGACTAAACTATAGACTAGACTAGACTAGACTATAGACTAGACTATAGACTAGACTATAGACTAGAATATAGAATAGACTGTAGACTAGACTAGACTATAGACAAGACTATAGACTAGACTATAGACTAGACAATAGATTAGACTATAGACTAGACTATAGACTAGACTATAGACTAGACTATAGACTAGACTATAGACTAGACTATAGACTAGACTATAGACTAGACTATAGACTAGACTATAGACTAGACTATAGACTAGACTATAGACTAGACTATAGACTAGACTATAGACTAGACTATAGACTAGACTATAGTCTAGACTATAGACTATACTATAGACTATACTATAGACTAGACTATAGATTAGACTATAGACTAGACTATAGACTAGACTATAGACTAGACTAGGACTAGACTATAGACTAGACTATAGACTAGACTAGACTAGACTATAGACTAGACTATAGGCTAGACTATAGAATAGACTATAGACTAGACTATAGACTAGACTATAGACTAGAATATAGACTAGACTATAGACTAGACTATAGACTAGACTATAGACTAGACTATAGACTAGACTTTAGACTAGACTATAGACTAGACTATAGACTAGACTATAGACTAGACTAAAGAATAGACTAGACTAAACTATAGACTAAACTATAGACTAGACTAGACTAGACTATAGACTAGACTATAGACTAGACTATAGACTAGAATATAGAATATAGACTATAGACTAGACTATAGACTAGACTATAGACTAGACTATAGACTAGACTATAGACTAGACTATAGACTAGACTATAGACTAGACTATAGACTAGACTATAGACTAGACTATAGACTAGACTATAGACTAGACTATAGACTAGACTATAGACTAGACTATAGACTAGACTATAGACTAGACTATAGACTAGACTATAGGATAGACTAGACTAGGCTATAGGATACACAAGACAAAACTATAGACCAGACTATAGACTAGACTATAGACTAGACTATAGACTAGACTATAGACTAGACTATAGACTAGACTATAGACTAGACTGTAGACTAGACTATAGACTAGACTGTAGACTAGACTATAGACTAGACTATAGACTAGACTATAGACTAGACTATAGACTAGACTATAGACTAGACTATAGACTATACTACAATCTAGACTATAGACTAGAGATTTACTAGACTATAGACTAGATATAGACTAGACTATAGACTAGACTATAGACTAGACTATAGACTAGACTATAGACTAGACTATAGATTAGACTATAGACTAGACTATAGACTAGACTATAGACTAGACTATAGACTAGACTATAGACTAGACTATTGACTAGACTATAGACTAGATTATAGACTAGACTATAGACTAGACTATTGACTAGACTATGACTAGACTATAGACTAGACTATATACTAGACTATAACTAGACTATAGACTAGACCATAGACTAACTATAGACTAAACTATAGACTAGACTAGACTAGACTATAGACTAGACTATAGACTATACAGACTAGAATATAGAATAGACTGTAGACTAGACTAGACTATAGACAAGACTATAGACTAGACTATAGACTAGACAATAGATTAGACTATAGACTAGACTATAGACTAGACTATAGACTAGACTATAGACTAGACTATAGACTAGACTATAGACTAGACTATAGACTAGACTATAGACTAGACTATAGACTAGACTATAGACTAGACTATAGACTAGACTATAGACTAGACTATAGACTAGACTATAGTCTAGACTATAGACTATACTATAGACTATACTATAGACTATACTATAGACTAGACTATAGATTAGACTATAGACTAGACTATAGACTAGACTATAGACTAGACTATGGACTAGACTATAGACTAGACTATAGACTAGACTAGACTATAGACTAGACTAGACTATAGGCTAGACTATAGAATAGACTATAGACTAGACTATAGACTAGACTATAGACTAGAATATAGACTAGACTATAGACTAGACTATAGACTAGACTATAGACTAGACTATAGACTAGACTATAGACTAGACTATAGACTAGACTATAGACTAGACTATAGACTAGACTAAAGACTAGACTATAGACTAAACTATAGACTAAACTATAGACTAGACTAGACTAGACTATAGACTAGACTATAGACTAGAATATAGAATAGACTGTAGACTAGACTAGACTATAGACAAGACTATAGACTAGGACTATAGACTAGACAATAGATTAGACTATAGACTAGACTATAGACTAGACTAGACTATAGACTAGACTATAGACTAGACTATAGACTAGACTATAGACTAGACTATAGACTAGACTATAGACTAGACTATAGACTAGACTATAGACTGACTATAGACTAGACTATAGACTGACTATAGACTAGACTATAGACGTAGACTATAGACTAGACTATAGACTAGACTATAGAGTAGACTATAGACTAGACTATAGACTAGACTACTAGACTAGACTATGACTAGACCTATGACTAGACTATAGACTAGACTATAGACTATACTATAGACTAGACTATAGACTAGACTATAGACTAGACTATAGACTAGACTATAGACTAGACTATAGACTAGACTATAGACTAGACTATAGACTAGACTATAGACTAGACTATAGACTAGACTATAGACTAGACTATAGACTAGACTATAGACTAGACTATAGACTAGACTATAGACTAGACTATAGACTAGACTATAGACTAGCTATAGACTAGACTATAGACTAGACTATAGACTAGACTATAGACTAGACTATAGACTAGACTATAGACTAGACTATAGACTAGACTATAGACTAGACTATAGCTAGAACTATAGACTAGACTATAGACTAGACTATAGACTAGACTATAGACTAGACTATAGACTAGACGATAGACTAGACTATAGACTAGGCTATAGACTAGACTATAGACCTAGACTATAGACTAGATTATAGACTAGACTATAGACTAGACTATAGACTAGACCATAATAAAACAATAATAGGTAGAATTAGTAGAAAAGTACGTTCTCAATTTTACATGCCTTGAATTGTCACAAAAAAGAAAATTAAAAAATATAAAGAAAAACATCAAATAAAAATTATTGAAAAATTTTGTTAAGAAAATAAAATTGAATAATTTGAATCAAAAAGATTGTAAACCAATAAAAATCAAAAACAGGATACAGAAGTGTGGAATGCTGTTTGCGTGTGCCGTTCAAGAATCATTTTATGGTATTTTTCGTGGTTTTCATTTGAAGAGTTTTAAGTTTTTCTCTTTATAGTTCTTTTTGTTTGACTTAACAAGGCAGAGAATTGACAACTCTCCCTACTGATTCTACCTTTCTATGGTTGTATCATGGACTAGACTAGAACATTAAGAAATAAATATGTACATAAATATATATGTATGTATTTTAGACTGACCGGATATTATATGTAGAGAAAAAAATGTCGGAATATTGTTCGTCTTAATCCCACATTATGATTCCCTTTGCCAAATAGAATATTAGCTTTGTTTTGAGATACTAGTTTACTGTTCTGGAGTTATAACTTCATATGTAGGATTTTTCAAACTTTGAGTGACTAGCGGCACGTGTTAACGTCTGTTAATCGAGCTCAAATTTCGGCTCAATCTCAATATCTGGAAAAGAGAATGAATCATTTTGTAGGATTAAGACGAACAAGATTCCAATACCGACTTTTTGCGGTCACACTATGTATATGTATATCAAAATATTTAACAATACTTACATCTTGACTTTCTTTTTTAAGTAGGTCATTCAAATAATTACGCAAAAAATTTATATGTTCAAAGTACGACAATGTTGGTACCAGATTCTCATTTGTATGGACTTTTTCTAGTTCGCTTTTATAAGCATTTAGAATTACGTTATATTTCTTTTGAACCCTTTCCATTCTCGTATTTTTATCGATCTTTCTATATTTTGCCAAAAGACTTTCCCACGACTTTTTTCTTTCATTTGGATCTTTGTATTGCTCAGTATCAGTTTTCCAAATGGCAGTTTCTTCCTTCAAAATTTCGATAAATGCCCGTGTTAAGTATTCACTACGATCTGTTTTTAACTGAAATGAGAAAATTTTCAAATGTGTTTCGGATAACGGAATACCGTTCCAGAAATATAAAATTGCGTAAGTGATGCGACTTTTTTAAATTCTTCCAAAATTGTGTTATATTTTCTCAAAATTCGACCAAATCTTTCCAAAGAGAATTATCCAAACAAAATGGATATTTTTTTATGCCCACAAAATTTTCAAATTCTTCGGATTGTACGATTACAGCTCCATAAACCAACAACAAAGTGTCGAGCACATACAATCCAACGCACAGTGGTATAGAAATAAAGAAAGAGGGGAATGATTATGTTACTTTTAAATGGTTTATCCGATTTAATAAAATTTTAAATTTGAGTTTTCAAATGCGAATATCTCCTAAGCTGTAAGAGATTCGTCGAGGGATACTATCTTCAATCGGAACAGAAATGAAGAAAAAATTACAAATTTATCATACAAACATATCATGAATAGAATAGACTATAGACTAGACTATAGACTAGACTATAGACTAGACTATAGACTAGAATATAGACTAGACTATAGACTAGACTATAGACTAGACTATAGACTAGACTATAGACTAGCTATAGACTAGACTATAGACTAGCTAGACTATAGACTAGACTATAGACTAGATTATAGACTAGACTATAGACTAGACTATAGACTAGACTATAGACTAGACTATGGACTAGACTATAGACTAGACTATAGACTAGACTATAGACTAGACTATAGACTAGACTATAGACTAGACTATAGACTAGACTATAGACTATGGACTATAGACTAGACTATAGACTATAGGCTATAGGCTATATTATAGACTAGACTATAGACTAGACTATAGACTAGACTATAGACTAGACTATAGACTAGACTATAGACTAGACTATAGACTAGACTATAGACTAGACTATAGACTAGACTATAGACTAGACTATAGACTAGACTATAGACTAGACTATAGACTAGACTATAGACTAGACTATAGACTAGACTATAGACTAGACTATAGACTAGACTATAGACTAGACTATAGACTAGACTATAGACTAGACTATAGACTAGACTATAGACTAGACTATAGACTAGACTATAGACTAGACTAGACTAGACTATAGACTAGACTATAGACTAGACTATAGCTAGGACTATAGACTAGACTATAGACTAGACTATAGACTAGACTATAGACTAGACTATAGACTAGACTATAGAACTAGACTATAGACTAGACTATAGACTAGACTATAGACTAGGACTATAGACTAGACTAGTAGACTAGACTATAGACTAGACATAGACTAGACTATAGACTAGACTATAGACTAGACTATAGACTAGACTATAGACTAGACTATAGACTAGACTATAGACTAGACTATAGACTAGACTATAGACTAGACTAATAGACTAGACTAATAGACTAGGACTATAGACTAGACTATAGACTAGACTATAACTAGACTATAGACTAGACTATAGACTAGACTATAGACTAGGACTATAGACTAGACTATAGACTAGACTATAGACTAGACTAAGACTAGACTATAGACTAGATAGACTAGACTATAGACTAGACTATAGACTAGACTATAGACTAGACTATAGACTAGACTATAGACTAGACTATAGACTAGACTATAGACTAGACTATAGACTAGACTAGACTAGACTATAGACTAGACTATAGACTAGACTATAGACTAGACTATAGACTAGACTATAGACTAGACTATAGACTAGACTATAGACTAGACTATAGACTAGACTATAGACTAGACTATAGACTAGACTATAGACTAGACTATAGACTAGACTATAGACTAACTATAGACTAGACTATAGACTAGACTATAGACTAGACTAGACTATAAGCTACACAAGACAAGACTATAGACTAGAATCTACACTGGACTATAGATTAGACTATAGACTAGACTATCGACTAGACTATAGACTAGACTATAGACTAGACTATAGACTAGACTATCGACTAGACTATAGACTAGACTATCGACTAGACTATAGACTAGACTATAGACTAGACTATAGACTACACTATAGACTAGACTAGACTATAGACTACACTATAGACTAGACTATAGCCTAGACTCGACTATAGACTAGATCGACTATAGACTAGACTAGACTGTAGACTAGACTATAAACTAGACTATAGACTAGACTATAGACTAGACTATAGACTAAACTATAAACTAGACTATAGACTAGACTATAGACTAGACTATAGACTAGACTATAGACTAGACTATAGACTCGACTATAGACTAGACTAGACTATAGACTACACTATAGACTAGACATAGACTCGACTATAGACTAGACTCGACTATAGACTAGACTCGACTATAGACTAGACTAGACTGTAGACTAGACTATAAACTAGACTATAGACTAGACTATAGACTAGACTATAGGACTAAACTATAAACTAGGACTATAGACTAGACTATAGACTAGACTATAACTAGACTATACTAGACTATAGACTACTATAGACTAACTATAGACTAGACTATAGACTAGACTATAGACTAGACTATAGACTAGACTATAGACTAGACTATAGACTAGACTATAGACTAGACTATAGACTAGACTATAGACTAGACTATAGACTAGACTATAGACTAGACTATAGACTAGACTATAGACTAGACTATAGACTAGACTATAGACTAGACTATAGACTAGACTATAGACTAGACTATAGACTAGACTATAGACTAGACTATAGACTAGACTATAGACTAGACTATAGACTAGACATAGACTAGACTATAGACTAGACTATAGACTAGACTATAGACTAGACTATAGACTAGACTATAGACTAGACTATAGACTAGACTATAGACTAGACTATAGACTAGACTATAGACTAGACTATAGACTAGACTATAGACTAGACTATAGACTAGACTATAGACTAGACTATAGACTAGACTATAGACTAGACTATAGACTAGACTATAGACTAGACTATAGACTAGACTATAGACTAGACTATAGACTAGACTATAGACTAGACTATAGACTAGACTATATACTAGACTAGAGACTAGACTATAGACTAGACTATAGACTAGACTATATACTAGACTAGAGACTAGACTATAGACTAGACTATAGACTAGACTATAGACTAGACTTAGACTAGACTATAGACTATAGACTAGACTATAGACTAGACTATAGACTAGACTATAGACTAGACTATAGACTAGACTATAGACTAGACTATAGACTAGACTATAGACTAGACTTTAGACTAGATTATAGACTAAACTATGAAATCTGGCTCTTACTATTTTAATATAAAAGGAACTTAAATTTTATGTAGTATTATAGACGTGGATACAGAAGATCCTATGATGCTGGGGTTTTTTAACAGTCATAATTGAAACTAAAATATGACGAGAATGATGTAAGCAGCCTCTAGTTTGCTGAAGAATCTAATGAAACCTTACAGAAGTCCTAATTTAATCACTGAAGAGCAGAATTTTAATTATAGATTTTCAAGTGCTCACAGAATAGTGGATATTACGATCAACTATTAATTTGTGTGCCCAGAAACATTAAGAAATAAATATGTACTTAAATATATATGTATGTATTTTAGACTGACCGGATATTATATGTAGAGAAAAAAATGTCGGAATATTGTTCGTCTTAATCCCACATTATGATTCCCCTTGCCAGATAGAATATTAGCTTTGTTTTGAGATACTAGTCTACTGTTCTGGAGTTATAGCTTCATATGTAGGATTTTTCAAACTTTGAGTGACTAGCGGCACGTGTTAACGTCTATTAATTGAGCTCAAATTTCGGCTCAATCTCAATATCTGGAAAAGAGAATGAATCATTTTGTAGGATTAAGACGAACAAGATTCCAATATCGACTTTTTGTGGTCACATGTATATGTATATCACAATATTTAACAATACTTACATCTTGACTTTCTTTTTTAAGTAGGTCATTCAAATAATTACGCAAAAAATTTATATGTTCAAAGTACGACAATGTTGGTACCAGATTCTCATTTGTATGGACTTTTTCTAGTTCGCTTTTATAAGCATTTAGAATTACGTTATATTTCTTTTGAACCCTTTCCATTCTCGTATTTTTATCGATCTTTCTATATTTTGCCAAAAGACTTTTCCACGACTTTTTTCTTTCATTTGGATCTTTGTATTGCTCAGTATCAGTTTTCCAAATGGCAGTTTCTTCCTTCAAAATTTTGATAAATGCCCGTGTTAAGTATTCACTACGATCTGTTTTTAACTGAAATGAGAAAATTTTCAAATGTGCGTTCACTAGAAGTGCTCAAAAAAATATGAATTTTGCTTGGATTTTTGTTCATCGGATAAATCGGATAACGGAATACCGTTCCAGAAATATAAAATTGCGTAAGTGATGGGACTTTTTTAAATTCTTCCAAAATTGTGTCATTAAAATTATATTTTCTTAAAATTTCGACCAAATCTTTCCAAAGAGAATTATCCAAACAAAATGGATATTTTTTATGCCCACAAAATTTTCAAATTCTTCGGATTTGTACGATTACAGCTCCATAAACCAACAACAAAGTGTCGAGCACATACAAATCCAACGCACAGTGGTATAGAAATAAAGAAAGAGGGGAATGATTATGTTACTTTTAAATGGTTTATCCGATTTTAATAAAATTTTAAATTTGAGTTTTCAAATGCGAATATCTCCTAAGCTGTAAGAGATTCGTCGAGGGATACTATCTTCAATCGGAACAGAAATGAAGAAAAAATTACAAATTTATCATACCCGAGGTGACTTACTTAGCGGACCTCTGACTACGCCCCTGGTAGGCCCATGTGGTCCAAATTGAAAAACTAACTAAACTCGTCAACACTTGCTCTTTACGTTTGTAAAATTTCATTAGAATCGGACGACAAACCGTTTAGAATTTACAGAATTATTTTCCTCATTTTTGTATTTCTATACCACTGTGCAACGCTTTTTTGGGAGGAGAGTTATATTTACGTTGCTTGCGAGAGGAACGGATGAATCCTTTCTAGTCCTTTTTTCGATATGCATGGGTGTGTTGTTGTTGTTGCTGGAATCATGGTCACTGTTATTTATGTTGCTATTGAAAGAAGATGAAGCAGATGAATCACTTATAAGATCAATTTCCGTAGGCATGGGTGTGTTGTTGTTGTTGCTGGAATCATGGTCACTGTTATATATGTTGCTATTGAAAAAAGATGAAGCAGATGAATCATTTGTAAGATCAATTTCCGGAATCGTGCGTGTGTTTGTTGTTGGAAATCATGGCCAGAGTTATTTACGTTCTGAGGAGTTGAATCTTTCTTCTTGGATCTATGATTTGACATAAAAAACAATATTAATAAAAACAGGAATTATTTTTCACACTTAAAAATATTTGTTTGATTTCGGCCTTCCGACTAACTAACTAACTAACTACTAACTAACTAACTAACTAACTAACTAACTAACTAACTACTAACTACTAACTAACTAACTAACTAACTAACTAACTAACTACTAACTACTAACTAACTACTAACTAACTAACTAACTAACTAACTAACTAACTAACTACTAACTAACTAACTACTAACTAACTAACTAACTAACTAACTAACTAACTAAGAACTAACTAACTCAACTAACTACTACTAACTAACTAACTAACTAACTACTACTAACTAACTACTAACTAACTAACTAACTAACTACTAACTACTACTAACTAACTAACTAACTAACTAACTAACTAACTACTAACTAACTAACTAACTAACTAACTAACTAACTAACTACTAACTAACTAACTAACTACTAACTAACTAACTACTAACTAACTAACTACTAACTAACTAACTAACTAACTACTAACTAACTAACTAACTAACTAACTACTAACTAACTACTAACTAACTAACTAACTAACTAACTAACAACTAACTAACTAACGTAACTAACTAACTAACTAACTACTACTAACTAACTAACTACCTAACTAACGAACTAACTAACTAACTAACTAACTAACTAACTAACTAACTAACTAACTAACTAACTAACTAACTAACTAACTAACTAACTAACTACTACTAACGAACTAACTAACTAACTAACTAACTAACTACTACTAACTAACTAACTAACTACTAACTAACTAACTACTAACTAACTACTAACTAACTAACTAACTAACTAACTAACTAACTACTAACTAACTAACTACAACTAACTAAACTAACTAACTAACTAACTAACTAACTAACTAACTAACTACTAACTAACTAACTAACTAACTAACTACTAACTAACTAACTAACTAACTACACTAACTAACTAACTAACTAACTAACTAACTAACTACTAACTACTAACTAACTAACTAACTAACTAACTAACTACTAACGAACTAACTACTAACTACTAACTAACTAACTAACTAACTACTAACTAACTAACTAACTAACTAACTAACTAACTACTAACTAACTAACTAACTAACTAACTAACTAACTAACTACTAACTAACTAACTAACTAACAACTACTAACTAACTAACTAACTAACTAACTAACTAACTAACTAACTAACTAACTAACTAACTAACTAAACTAACTAACTAACTAACTAACTAACTACTAACTAACTAACTAACTACTAACTAACTAACTAACTAACTAACTAACTAACTAACTAACTAACTAACTAACTACTAACTAACTAACTAACTAACTAACTAAACTAACTACTAACTAACTAACTAACTAACTAACTAACTAACTAATACTAACTACTAACTAACTAACTAACTAACTCTAACTAACTAACTAACTACTAACTAACTAACTAACTAACTAACTACTAACTAACTAACTACTAACTAACTAACTACTAACTAACCTAACTAACTACTAACTAACTAACTAACTAAACTAACTAACTACCTAACTAACTAACTAACTAACTAACTAACTAACTAACTAACTACTACTAACTACTACTACTAACGAACTAACTAACTACTAACTAACTAACTACTAACTAACTAACTAACTAACTAACTACTAACTACTAACTAACTAACTAACTACTAACCTAACTAACTAACTACTACTGACTAACTAACTACTATGGCGAACCGCAAATAATACCAGAAACAAGTCGCAAGTACCAAGGTTTATAAGAAATGAAAACATTCATTTTGATAAAAAATTGTATACTCTTCACTTTCGTGAAAAGGTTATATACATACATATGAGTTTGTTATTCCGGATCCATATAGATAGTGTAATCGAATAAGCCATGTCCGTCTGTCTGTTGAAATTAATTTTCTCCGACATCTTTGGGATGCAAATCTTGAATAATACTGTCAGACATGCTTTCGAGAAGATTTCTATTTAAAATCTTGATAAAAAAGCAACAACAACATAGTTGCTTTTTTTTTAATTTAGAACAACAGGTGTTCGTTGAGCTACGTCATGTCAGCAAATAAAATGATTGACGTGTGAATAACATTAAAAAAAAAACCTTTTTTTTGTAAAAATTAAAAAAAATTAAAGTAATGCGCGGTGAAAAATTGCAAAAAGCACCACCAACAACTCCAAGGGTGCGAAATTTGTTTTTTATTTCCGACGGACGCTTCCATTCGGAAGCAATGGATAAGTTTTTGTTTTTTATATACCCTCCACCACCATCAGTGGTGATAGAGGGTATATATAACTTTGTCATTCCATGTGTAACACCAAGAAATATTCATCTGAGACCCAACAAAGTATATATATTCTGGGTCCTTATCAAATTCTGAGTCGATTTAGCTATGTCCGTCTGTCTGCCTAAAACACGCTCACGTTAAAACTAAGCAAAGGAAGTACACCAAATTCACCGAGAATATTCATTGTTGTCCTAGGCAGTTTGGTATTGAAAATGAGCCAAATCGGTTCATACCGGGAAAAGTTATGAATCAAAATTTAAAACAACCTCGAAAAAAATAAGCATTTTTACACATTCGGATGCAATTTTCGCGAAAATTATGCAAGATAAATTCATGAAAAATCACCACGAATAAGTTTCTACACGAGAACTTGATCCCTGTTGGAAATTGCTAAAATCGGTCCACAATTTCATATACCTCCCATACAAAAGTACATATTCCCGGAAAATGGGTTTTTTGCTAATAACTTCCGTCACAATGTTGATATCTTCACAAAATTTTACAAATTAAAATCTTATATCAATAGAATTCATTCAGAGACAAAATTTTTTGGATCGGTCCATAATTGGTCATAGCTCCCATACAAGGTCCCCTCCCGAAAATCACTTAAGCGCGCATAATTCATTACTTAATAAAGATATCCATATAAAATTTGATACAAGTATTGCTGTACAGAAATATTACTGAGAAATTTTTTTCCGATCGGTCCATAATTGGTCATAGCTCCCTTACAAGGTCCCCTCCCGAAAATCACTTAAACGCGCATAACTCATTACTGAATTAAGATAACCATGTATAATTTGGTACACATATTGCCTATCTGTATAGAAATATTACTAAGAATTTTTTTCGATCGGTCCATAATTGGTCATAGCTCCCATACAAGGTCCCCTCCCGAAAATTACTTAAACGCATATAACTCATTACAAAATTAAGATATCCATATGAAATTTGGTACAAGTATTGCTTATATGCACAGAAATATTACTGTGAAATTATTTTCCTATCAGTCCATAAATGATCATAGCTCCGATACAAGGTCCCTTTCAGAAAAAACACATTTAAAGGCACGTAGCTCATTACCTTATAACCCATAAAATATTTGGCATAAAAATTATTTTTGTGCACTTAAATGTTATTTCAAAATTTTTTCATGATTGGTCCATTCTTGGTCTTAGCTCTCATACAAGGTTCCCTCCCGAAAATCACTTAAACGCACATAACTCATTACCAAATATTGATATCCATACATTTAGCAAAAATATACATAAATTAACCTATACAATTGTTGTACTCTCTCATACTAGGTCTCCTCCAGAAAATCACTTAAATGCACAATATTCATTACCAAATAATGATATAGATACAGAATTTTGAAATTTTGTCTATATATATATATACATAATTGGTCATAGCTCCCAAACAAGGTCCTTTTACGAAAATCTCTTAAACGCACATTACTCTTTACCAAATAAAGCTATTGATACAAAATTTGGCATAAATGTTAGTTTTGTATACAAAAATTCTATTTCCAGATTTTTTTTCACGATCGGTTCATAACTTGGGTGCGGTCGGTCCCATAATAAACGCTCATAACTTATTACAAAATTACGATATAGATACAAATTTTGACTGAAATATAGCTTTAATGTACACAATTTTGCTTAAAGAATTTTTTACGATCGGTCTATAATTGGTCATATCTCCCATACTAGGTCCTGCCCCTAAAAGCACTTTAGCCGTAATTAACTAGTTGCATTATCAATTAGTGTATATATGTATTTTGAAAATCCTTAAATCTTTCACACACATACAAATTACTAAATATCGCTAAAGCATATCTAAGGCCCTATAAAAATATAAAAGAAAATGGCGTTAGTAATGTTCAATAAATCTTGGAATTGTAATAGATTTAAGCTGTTTAAATCTTGGGATTTTTCTATTTAAGACATGAGAAAACTTATATCTACAAGCTGGTGGAGGGTATTTAAGATTCGGCTCAGCCGAATATAGCACTCTAACTTGTTATTTTCCAAAAATGTCACTTTGTTTATGTTTTGCTTAAATATTTTTACATACTGAATGCGTAATCTATGTTTCTATAATTCTTGGAAAAAACGTACATATGTATGTATGTTTGGATGTGTGCTGGTCTCATTGCTTTTCGTATTTTGGTTTTTTTTATACCCTACACCACTTTAGTGGGGAGGGTATATTGGATTTGTGCTGATGTTTGTAACATACAAAAATATTCGTCCTAGACCCACCTTAAAGTATACCAATCGGCTTAGAATCGTTTTCTGAGTCGATTAAGCTATGTCCGTCCGTCCGTCCGTCCGTCTGGCTGGCTGGCTGGCTGTCCATGTAAACCTTGTGCGCAAGCTACAGGTCGCAATTTTTGAAAATGGTTAAGATCGGTCCATTATTTCACCTAGCCCCCATAGAACAGAACCCCACGAAAAGGGCTTCTGAGCTCATAATTATGTTAAATATACAGATATATCGATAAAATACGGCACAACTAAGTTTTATAGAAGTCTTGATGACTCTGCCAAATTTCATAAAGATCGGGCCACATTTGACCCTAGCTCCCATACAAAGTCCCCTTCAGAAAATTACTTAAATGTCCCAAATTAGCTTATAAACACAAATATCGCGATGAAATTCAGCACAATAAATATTATGTCAATATAAATATATTCACAAAATTTTATCGGGCTTGGTCCATATTTGCCCCTAGCCCCCATATAAAGCCTCTTTCAGAAAATTAGTTTTTCATCCATAAATTGCTTAAATGTATCGGAACAAGGGAATATTGAAGATAAATGCTTTATTATGAAAAATAAATCACATTTAATATTCATAACTGGTGTAGGGTATCATATGGTCGGCCACGCCCGACTATACTTTCTTACTTGTTTGCGTTTTGTTTTGTTTGGCGTTCTTGTTGTTGTTTGTTATGTTTTGCTATATAATATATTTATAGTTCCGTTTGAAATATTGATTTGTGAATCCCCGAACACAAACATACACACATATGTATATTAAATATTTTAAATTTTTATTACTCACGTTTGTGTATTTAGAAACTGGTCCAAAAATGATAAGCTTTCGGCGAATTTATATGGCACTAGTTTTGTTTTTCGACTCCCAGATGTCATGTCTTTTAGCTTTTTATATCTTCTATAGGAACTTCTCAAACTTCGCCATCTTTTTTTTACAAAATCAACTTTAAATGTATATAAAATATGTAAAAATAATCAAATACATTTAAAAACTAATAAAATTGTTTAATACGGAATAGTACTTACCTCTCATGTTAATTTTTTTTGCAACTTTTTTCCAATTTTTGCGTCTGATCTTAATTGTTTTGGAATCTCCAGATTGATTATTATATAAAATTTCATATTTTTCAACTTCTTCAATAATTTGTTCACATATTCTATCCATTTTTTTATTTTTTTTTTTTAATAAATATATTAATTTATTTTATAAAACGTAAAGCGATGAGAGGCTATGTTAAGCAAAGTGTTTTATTAAACTCAATGACACGAACAAAACAAAAAAGCGGGAATATGATTTGGTAAATTTCAGATTTTAAACATCCGAAACAACTAAATATGTGTTTCAATGAGAGCGGTCACAATCAATATGCCAAACTTGTGCACGAAGTACATAAGTTGAAAAATATTCAAATTTGGCATACGAAAATGAAGAGAAATAGAAAATGAGAATAAAAAAAAAAAACAAAACTATCAAAATTATTGTTTGTTATACCCTACACCACTTTAGTGGGGAGGGTATATTGGATTTGTGCTGATGTTTGTAACGCATAGAAATAATGGTCCTATCTGTCCGTGTGTCTGTCTGTCTGCCTGTATTTCTGTCCGTCTGTCTGTCTGTCCGTCTGTCTGTCCATCTGAACTTTGTAATAAAACTACAGGACGCAATTTTGAAGATAATTGAATGAAATTTGCTACACACATTACAAGGACGAACACTATTGATTTTGGTTAATATCGGTCCATTATTTCACCTAGCCCCCATATAACTGGACCCCCTAAATTGGGATTTGAGCTCATAATTGTGCCAAATATTTGAATATCCCTACCAAAATAGGCACAACTACGTTTTATACCAACATAAATGATACTGCAAAATTTCGTAATGAGCGGTCCTTTATTTAACCCTAGCCCCCCCTTGCAAAGTCTCCTCAGAAAATGATTGAACGTCGTTAATTCCCTTAGAAACACCTTTATTTCAATGAAATTCTGTATAATTAACTTAATGTCAACAAAAATCCCTCCACCAATGTTTGTTAGGATTGACCCTAGCTCCCATATATAGCGTCCATCAGAAAATCATTTTTCATCAAAAATATATCGAAATTAAGGAAAAATCCAACATAAATACTTTATTTATAAAATTAATACACATTTTAGATATACTCATAACTGGTGTAGGGTATCATGTGGTCGGTCACGCCCGACTATACTTTTTTACTTGTTTTTTTTGTGTTTAATTGTGTTTGGAGTGTGTGGGTGTGTGTGAAAATCACCCCTTTTTGGAATAAAATACTTTTTATATGTTAAATAAAATATTTTATATTGAATATTTGTTGATATTACTACATACATACATACATAGATACATACATACATACATACAGCACATACATACATACATACATACAGACATACATACATACATACATACTACATACATACAGTACATACATACATACATACATACATACATACATCATACATACAGACATACATACATACATACATACATACATACATACATACATACATACATACATACATACATACATACATACATACAACTACTACATACATACAGACATACATACATACATACATACATACATACATACATACATACATCATACATACATACATACTACATACATACATACATACATACACATACATACATACATACATACATACATACTACATACATACATACATACATACATACATAACATACATACATACATACATACATACATACATACATACATACATACATACATACATACATACATACATACATACATACATACATACATACTACATACATACATACATACATACATACATACATACATACATACATACATACATACATACATACATACATACATACATACATCATACATACATACATACATACATACATACATACATACATACATACATACATACATACATACATACATACATACATACATACATACATACATACATACATACATACATACATACATACATACATACATACATACATACATACATACATACATACATACATACATACATACATACATACATACATACATACATACATACATACATACATACATACATACATACATACATAACATACATACATACATACATACATACATACATACATACATACATACATACATACATACATACATACATACATACATACATACATACATACATTACATAATACATACATACATACATACATACATACATACATACATACATACCATACATACATACATACATACATACATACATCACATACACATACATTTAACATATTATGAGCCTCAAAAGCCCTATTCGAGGGGTACGGTGTATGGGGGCTATACGAAATAATGGACCGATTTTAACCCATTTTCAATGGGCTTCGTCCTTGGGTCAAGAGAGAGTATGTGCCAAATTTCCAACCTGTAGAGTGCACACAAGGTTACATGGACAGACAGACAGACAGACAGACAGACAGATAGATAGACAGATAGATAGACAGACAGACAGACAGACAGACAGACAGAAAGACAGACAGAAAGACAAACAAACAGACAGACAGACATAGCTAAACCGACTCAGAAAGTGATTGGTATACTTTAAGGTGGGTGTAGGAGCAATATTTTTGGGTGTTACAAACATCAGCACAAATGCATAATACCCTTCCCACTATAGTGGCGTAGGGTATAACAAACAGATAGAGAGTTTTTCATATGTATAAGTAAAAACTTTTAATTTCAAATATTTGAATATACATACAAATGTACTATAAAATTATTTACATATATGTATGTATAGCTTTATATGTATACGTATTACTTTTATTTGTTATTCAGTACTATTGAGTCTCAGTTTTATTTAGACACTGCTCGGTTAGCTATCGCATTTGCCGGGAGCAAGTATTTTTATTAATGTCAATTTAGTGTTTATATTCTGTTAACATATTCCCGATATTTTCGTTATCATAATATTTCTGTTCTAAGTCATAAGAAACTCATTTATTTTTTAAAATAAATTAAAATTTTAATTGAAAGAATAAAATGGATATAGATGAAAAACTTATTAAAGAAGTTCAAAAATATGAGGCTTTATATGATATGCAATCTGAAGATTACAGAAAAGTTAGGCTCAAAGACGAAATGTGGCGACTAGTTGCACGAAATGTTGGAGTGCCAGGTAAGTATTAAGTTTTTAAAAAAAATTATGTTTTTTTTTAATATTTTCTTTCACATGTTTTATGTATAAAGTTGAGCTAGCTAAACAAAGATGGAAAAATTTAAGAGATAATTATAGAAGATATAAAATGAAAGAAGTCTTGCCATCTGGGAGCCGTCAAACATTGTCACAACCATATAAATACGCACAAAAATTAACATTTTTGGACAAATTTCTAAATATACAGGAGTGAGTAATAATACTTGTTAAATTTTATATTTTTATGTTATAGGCTTCATATTATAAAACATACAAAAAGTACCATTTGAAGAAGGTACCAATGAGTCACCTCTGATAGATTTTCATTTAGTTATGTTAAATTTTATGTTTCTGGGTTAAATATTAAAGAAAATACAAAAAGTACCAAAAATTTTCCCCTTTTCGTCCAGGAGTAGACTTTTCAAGAATTAAGTTTTCAAAATACAATGTTTTTAAATCTATATTTAGATCACAGATAAAACTCAAACGCTACAAAGCTGCATTCATTTGTTCCAGAAAAATTATGTTTTCAAAAAGTACCAAACAATTTATCTGAATTTGGTTGTATATATGGCTTAGTACCCGAATTCCAAAATAACATACCAATAGCTTATTTTCTGTGAAGAAAATAACTATTTTTTTTAATTTTATAAAAATTGGCTCAATGTGTTTGAATAAAATTGAATTTGCCCTTTTTTTCCCTTTTTGGTACTTTTTTCCTCTACAGTGAAATAGCCAATATTTTGTATCAACAAATACACTTCACATTTAGTCCGTAATTTAATAGGTATACGTCAATAAATCGAAAAAGTTTTCTTAATGTGCTAAAAAAAGTACAAAAAATACAATTTTCTCCCCTTAAACCCAAAAAGGACTGAATTTTAAAAAGGCACGAAACAGTTGTCTCATAATTTTGAAAGATATGTTCAAAATATTTAAAGAAATTGTAATTGAAATTATATATAATTATTAATATACATTTTTAGATCAAATCAAAGCTTTGGCCACACACATTCGCCCGCCTTAAAAAGGCGAAGAGAAGAAACATCTGGTTCATTATATCCTACAACTTTGCTTTGTCCATCTTTCGGAAACCTATTTGATAATACGGACAAAAAATCCTACAACACATGTTCGCCTACCAATGCAACTGCAACCTATACAAGTGAGTTCTTTATGCTTCTTGCAAATAAAATTAATGATTCAGGCTTGAATGGGATGGAAAAAGAAAGTATACACCATGCAGTGTCTGTACTGGTAAATAAAAAGTTGAATGAGTTTTCGAAACGCAGATATAATTATTATTAATTAAATAAACATTTTTTATGCTAAATTTGTTATGGATCGGTCCACCAAATCGACCAAAGTCCGTTAAAAAACAAACAATTGTTTTTTTTTTACATTTATTTTTAAAAGATTATGCTCTTTAAGGAAATATTTGTTAATTTTGTTTAAGGTAAGAATGGTTTATTTGCAAAATTTATCTTCAAGACAATTCATATGGATTATTTCTTATAAATTCATAACCACAAATATTATATTTTTATGGGTGCATTTTTTAAACACTTGTTGCGGCGAGGGTGATATCATTTAAAGCCTTTGGAAGCATAGAACTGCACCAGAACTGAACTAGACTGAACTAGAACTGAACTAGAACTGAACTAGAACTGAACTAGAACTGAACTAGAACTGAACTAGAACTGAACTAGAACTGAACTAGAACTGAACTAGAACTGAACTAGAACTGAACTAGAACTGAACTAGAACTGAACTAGAACTGAACTAGAACTGAACTAGAACTGAACTAGAACTGAACTAGAACTGACTAGAACTGAACTAGAACTGAACAGAAATGACTAGAACTGAACTAGAACTGAACTAGAACTGAACTAGAACTGAACTAGAACTGAACAGACTGGAACTAGAACTGAACGAACGAACTAGAAACTGAACTAGAACTGAACTAGAACGAACTAGACAACTAGAACTGAACTGAACTAGAAACTGAACTAGAACTGAACTAGAACTGAACTAGAACTGAACTAGAACTGAACTAGAACTGAACTAGAACTGACTAGAACTGAACTAGAACTGAACTAGAACTGAACTAGAACTGAACTAGAACTGAACTAGAACTGAACTAGAACTGAACTAGAACTGAACTAGAACTGAACTAGAACTGAACTAGAACCTGAACTAAACTGAACTAGAACTGAACTAGAAGACTATGACTAGAACTGAACTAGAACTGAACTAGAACTGAACTAGAACTGAACTAGAACTGAACTAGAACTGAACTATAACTGAACTAGAACTGAACTAGAACTGAACTAGAACTGACTAGAACTGAACTAGAACTGAACTAGAACTGAACTAGAACTGAACTAGAACTGAACTAGAACTGAACTAGAACTGAACTAGAACTGAACTAGAACTGAACTAGAACTGAACTAGAACTGAACTAGAACTGAACTAGAACTGACTGAACTAGAACTGAACTAGAACTGAACTAGAACTGAACTAGAACTGAACTAGAACTGAACTAGAACGGAACTAGAACTGAACTAGAAACTGACTAGACGACTAGAACTGAACTACGAACTGAACGTAGAACTGAACTAGAACTGAACTAGGACTGAACTAGAACTGAACTAGAACTGAACTAGAACTGAACTAGAACTGAACTAGAACTGAACTAAATGAACTATAACTGAACTAGAACTGAACTAGAACTGAACTAGAACTGAACTAGAACTGACTAGACTGACTGAAACTGAACTAGAACTGAACTAGAACTGAACTAGAACTGAACTAGAACTGAACTAGAACTTGAACTAGAAACTGAACTAGAACGGAACTGAACTAGAACTGAACTAAACTGAACTAGAACTGAACTAGAACTGAACTAGAACGGAACTAGAACTGACTAGAACTGAACTAGAACTGAACTTAGAACTGAACTAGAACTGAACTAGAACTGAACTAGAACTGAACTAGAACTGAACTAGAACTGAACTAGAACTGAACTAGAATGAACTAGAACTGAATAGAACTGAACTAGAACTGAACTAGAACTGAACTAGAACTGGACTAGAACTGAACTAGAACTGAACTAGAACTGAATTAGAACTGAACTAGAACTGAACTAGAACTGAACTAGAACTGAACTAGAACTGAACTAGAACTGAACTAGAACTGAACTAGAACTGAACTAGAACTGAACTAGAACTGAACTAGAACTGAACTAGAACTGAACTAGAACTGAACTAGAACTGAACTAGAACTGAACTAGAACTGAACTAGAACTGAACTAGAACTGAACTAGAACTGAACTAGAACTGAACTAGAACTGAACTAGAACTGAACTAGAACTGAACTAGAACTGAACTAGAACTGAACTGAACTAGTACTGAACTGAACTAGAACTGAACTAGAACTGAACTAGAACTGAACTAGACTGAACTAGAACTGAACTAGAACTGAACTAGAACTGAACTAGAACTGAACTAGAACTGAACTAGAACTGAACTAGAACTGAACTAGAACTGAACTAGAACTGAACTAGAACTGAACTAGAACTGAACTAGACTGAACTAGAACTGAACTAGAACTGAACTAGAACTGAACTAGAACTGAACTAGAACTGAACTAGAACTGAACTAGAGCCGAACTAGAACTGAACTAGAACTGAACTAGAGCCGAACTAGAACTGAACTAGAACTGAACTATAGACTAGACTATTGACTATACAATAGACCTGACTATAGACCAGACTATAGACCAGACTATAGACTAGACTGTAGACTAGACTATAGACTAGACTATAGACTAGACTATAGACTAGACTATAGACTAGACTATAGACTAGACTATAGACTAGACTATAGACTAGACTATAGACTAGACTATAGACTAGACTATAGACTAGACTATAGACTAGACTATAGACTAGACTATAGACTAGACTATAGACTAGACTATAGACTAGACTATAGACTAGACTATAGACTAGACTATAGACTAGACTATAGACTAGACTATAGACTAGACTATAGACCAGACTATAGACTAGACTATAGACTAGACTATAGCCTAGACTATAGACCAGACTATAGACTAGACTATAGACTAGACTATAGACTAGACTATAGACTAGACTATAGACTAGACTATAGACTAGACTATAGACTAGACTATAGACTAGACTATAGACTAGACTATAGACTAGACTATAGACTAGACTATAGACTAGACTATAGACTAGACTATAGACTAGACTATAGACTAGACTATAGACTAGACTATAGACTAGACTATAGACTAGACTATAGACTAGACTATAGACTAGACTATAGACTAGACTATAGACTAGACTATAGACTAGACTATAGACTAGACTATAGACTAGACTATAGACTAGACTATAGACTAGACTATAGACTAGACTATAGACTAGACTATAGACTAGACTATAGACTAGACTATAGACTAGACTATAGACTAGACTATAGACTAGACTATAGCCTAGACTATAGACCAGACTATAGACTAGACTATAGACTAGACTATAGACTAGACTATAGACTAGACTATAGTAGACTAGACTAATAGACTATGACTATAGACCTAGGACTATAGACTAGACTATAGACGAGACTATAGACTAGACTAGAGACTATACTAATGACTAGACTATAACTAGAATATAGACTAGTACTATAGACTAGACTATCGACTATACTATAGACTAGACGATAGACTAGACTATAGACTAGACTATAGACTAGACTATAGACTAGACTATAGACTAGACTAGTAGACTAGACTAATAGACTAGACTATAGACGAGACTATAGACTAGACTATAGACTAGACTATAGACTAGACTATAGACTAGACTATAGACTAGACTATAGACTAGACTAGACTAGACTAGACTATAGACTAGACTATAGCTAGACTATAGACTAGACTATAGACTAGACTATAGACTAGACTATAGACTAGACTATAGACTAGACTATAGACTAGACTATAGACTAGACTATAGACTAGACTATAGACTAGACTATAGACTAGACTATAGACTAGACTATAGACTAGACTATAGACTAGACTATAGACTAGACTATAGACTAGACTATAGACTAGACTATAGACTAGACTATAGACTAGACTATAGACTAGACTAGACTAGACTATAGACTAGACTATAGACTAGACTATAGACTAGACTATAGACTAGACTATAGACTAGACTATAGACTAGACTATAGACTAGACTATAGCTAGACTATAGACTAGACTATAGACTAGACTATAGACTAGACTATAGACTAGACTATAGACTAGACTATAGACTAGACTATAGACTAGACTATAGACTAGACTATAGACTAGACTATAGACTAGACTATAGACTAGACTATAGACTAGACTATAGACTAGACTATAGACTAGACTATAGACTAGACTATAGACTAGACTATAGACTAGACTATAGACTAGACTATAGACTAGACTATAGACTAGACTATAGACTAGACTATAGACTAGACTATAGACTAGACTATAGACTAGACTATAGACTAGACTATAGACTAGACTATAGACTAGACTATAGACTAGACTATAGACTAGACTATAGACTAGACTATAGACTAGACTATAGACTAGACTATATAGACTATAGACTAGACTATAGACTAGACTATAGACTAGACTATAGACTAGACTATAGACTAGACTATAGACTAGACTATAGACTAGACTATAGACTAGACTATAGACTAGACTATAGACTAGACTATAGACTAGACTATAGACTAGACTATAGACTAGACTATAGACTAGACTATAGACTAGACTATGGACCAGACTATAGACTAGACCAACGGTTCCCAAATGGGGGTCCGCGGACCCCTAGTGGTCCGTAGTAAAATCCTAGGGGGTCCGCGAAGACGAACGAAAAAAACATGAATAAACAATATTCTTTTATATGTATGTACAAATATCTCCAATTTTTGTGCAATAATCCTAAATTTTTTGGTGACTTTTTGAATTTTATTTTTTCGGTTGTTTATCAGGAAGAAGCTAGGCCGTACAAATTTATTGTATAACTTTTATAAAGTAAAGTATTGCGTGATTTGTAATTTTTATTTCCTGTATATTACTGAAATAATGGTTTTTATTTCAGACAAATAATACTCTGCCTTACAATTAAATTAATTCCAGAGTATGAAGTTCAATTCAAAGACAAGCTTATTATAGATTTAAGTTTATCAAATTGTAAGCAAAAGTGTTCTTGTTTGAAAGGACTAAAATTATATATTTTCAAAACAGAGGTGACTCTTTATGCATCTCTTTATAAATATTCCAATCCGACGTGATACACAGATTTTAACTTGATTTTGTCGACCAATGCATATTATTAAATTAACATCAGAAAATCCATAGCGTTTCGCGTAAATATGTAGCCAAAAACCATGAAGTAAAATAATTCGTTGGTATTTTAAAATTAAAATTTAAGTTCCAAATTCACAGTACTTTAACTAAGAGTTCAAATCATGTTGCGGATAACGCATTCCGCAACAACATAGAAGAAGTCCAACTTTCTTATATTATTTTCTCGAAAACTTAGCTCACTTACTCAGTTCACCCTTTGCAATCGCAACAAATTTTTGAAACGTGACTTCTTAAGCACATGTGACAATATTTGATATTGATATTTTCGCTACCTTGAAGAAAAATGAACATGAAAGATCTCACGATCATAAAATGAAACATCATGTTAACATATCAACAAAGAAGTCATTCTATCTTCAAAACATGCAATTGAAAACCTATCTGAAATATTATATATTCTCAATGTACGGGAATATTTTATAGATATGACATCTCTACATTTATTAGACCTAGGGATTAATGGACTAGGTCAATTTTCGGATGGACAATTATTTAGAACAATAGAATATCAAAATATGTATGGGGGTCCGCGAAATTAAATAAGTTCTTCAAGGGGTCCGCGAAGTAAAAATCGGTGGGAACCGCTGGACTAGACTATATATTAAGGTTTAGATTACACTGTATACATACCTGCAGCTTCAAGCTTTCCTATGTAGTGGGACACACATACATATATTATAATAAAACTGTGTCGCCATTTTTAAATTTGATTTGTTTTTTTATTAAATAATTTCATAAAATCACATACATATTGTTTTATTTACTTAATTATTAATTTTAAAGGTTAAACAAACAAAAAATAACGGTTTTTTGTAAATTTAGTTTTTTAATACTTTTAAAATAAAAAATTATAATAATTATATTAATAAAACAACTATTAACTAATAAACTCAACAATATTAAGACAAGTAATGGAATAATTAGTAAAAATTAAAAGCTTAACAAATAACTATCAAATAAAACTAATAATTAAATTAAAACAAATTAAAAAAGGATTTATTAAAAAGGAATATTTTTCACGTAAAATTAGTAATTAATTTATAATTTCACATAAATTTCTTTTCCTAAATAAATATTGTATAAAAACAACAAAAATTTCACTTATTCTCTAAAAAATAAAGTTCATAAATTACAATATTTTACAAATTAAAAAGTTTTTCTTTAAAAACACTCGCTCTACTTTGTTCAAAATCTTAAATTTAAATACTTTTTGTTTTTCTAAGTTATCGTGTTTTTGTTTGTTTTGCTTCTCTAAAATTTAAGGTTGTAAATGAGCCATCGTTTTATCGGGCAGATTAGCGGCCAGATATTGCTTGTGCAAACGCTGTCGACAGAATTGATAGAATTCAATTTCATTGGTGAAATTGCGTCGTACAATATCTTTGACTTTTTCACTAACTGGTGGTTTGAAATTATTTTTATTGATCTTTGTTAGGTATTCGGCACTGGCTGGGAAAAGAGAAGAACAAGATAAAGGTTAAAATTTATACGAAAAAGAAACTTATAGAAAAAAGGATTGAATTGGGGTTATTTTTGGTCTATAAGAAAATCTATAGTCTATCTTACAGTCTGGTCGATAGTCTAATCTATAGCCTAGACAATAGTATAGTCTATAGACTTGTCTATAGTCTAGTCTATATTCTAGTCTATAGTCTAGTCTATAGTCTGGTCTATAGTCTAGTCTATAGTTTAGTCTATAGTCTAGTCTATAGTTTAGTCTATAGTCTAGTCTATAGTTTAGTCTATAGTCTAGTCTATAGTCTAGTATATAGTATGGTATATAGTTTAGTCTATAGTCTAGTCTATAGCCTAGTCTATAGTCTAGTCTATAGTCTAGTTTATAGTCTAGTCTATAGTCTTGTCTATAGTCTTGTCTATAGTCTAGTCTATAGTCTAGTCTATAGTCTAGTTTATAGTCTTGTCTATAGTCTAGTCTATAGTCTAGCCTAATCTAGTCTATCGTCTAGGCTAGAGTCTAGTGCATAATTTAGTCTATAGTCTAGTCTATAGTCTAGTGCATAATTTAGTCTATAGTCTAGTCTATAGTCTATTCTATAGTCTAGTCTGTAGTCTAGTCTGTAGTCTAGTCTATAGTCTAGTCTATAGTCTAGTCTATAGTCTAGTCTATAGTCTAGTCTATAGTCTAGTCTATAGTCTAGTCTATAGTCTAGTCTATAGTCTAGTCTATAGTCTAGTCTATAGTCTACTCTATAGTCTAGTCTATAGTCTGGTCTATAGTCTAGTCTATGGTCTAGTCTACGGTCTAGTCAATAGTCTAGTCTATAGTCTAGTCTATAGTCTAGCCTATAGTCTAGTCTATAGCCTAGTCTATAGTGTAGTCTATAGTCTAGTCTATAGTCTAGTCTATAGTCTAGTCTATAGTCTAGTCTTTAGGCTAGTCTTTAGGCTAGTCTATAGTCTAGTCTATAGTATAGCCTATGGTCTAGTCTATAGTCTAGTCTATAGTCTAGTCCATAGTCTAGTCTATAGTCTAGTCTATAGTCTAGCCTATAGTCTAGTCTATAGTCTACTCTATAGTCTATTCTATAGTCTAGTCTATAGTCTAGTCTATAGTCTAGTCTATAGTCTAGTCTATAGTCTAGTCTATAGTCTAGTCTATAGTCTAGTCTATAGTCTAGTCTATAGTCTAGTCTATAGTCTAGTCTATAGTCTAGTCTATAGTCTAGTCTATAGTCTAGTCTATAGTCTAGTCTATAGTCTAGTCTATAGTCTAGTCTATAGTCTAGTCTATAGTCTAGTCTATAGTCTAGTCTATAGTCTAGTCTATAGTCTAGTCTATAGTCTAGTCTATAGTCTACTCTATAGTCTAGTCTATAGTCTAGTCTATAGTCTAGTCTATGGTCTAGTCTATGGTCTAGTCAATAGTCTAGTCTATAGTCTAGTCTATAGTCTAGCCTATAGTCTAGTCTATAGCCTAGTCTATAGTGTAGTCTATAGTCTAGTCTAGCCTATAGTCTAGTCTATTGCCTAGTCTATAGTCTAGTCTATAGTCTAGTCTATAGTCTAGTCTATAGTCTAGTCTATAGTCTAGTCTTTAGGCTAGTCTATAGTCTAGTCTATAGTATAGCCTATGGTCTAGTCTATAGTCTAGTCTATAGTCTAGTCCATAGTCTAGTCTATAGTCTAGTCTATAGTCTAGTCTATAGTCTAGCCTATAGTCTAGTCTATAGTCTAGTCTATAGTCTAGTCTATAGTCTAGTCTATAGTCTAGTCTATAGTCTAGTCTATAGTCTAGTCTATAGTCTAGTCTATAGTCTAGTCTAGTCTATAGTCTAGTCTATAGTCTAGTCTATAGTCTAGTCTATAGTCTAGTCTATAGTCTAGTCTATAGTCTAGTCTATAGTCTAGTCTATAGTAGCCTAGTCTCTATAGTCTAGTCTATAGTCTAGTCTATAGTCCTAGTCTATAGTCTAGTCTATAGTCTAGTCTATAGTCTAGTCTATAGTCTAGTCTATAGTCTAGTCTATAGTCTAGTCTATAGTCTAGTCTATAGTCTAGTCTATAGTCTAGTCTATAGTCTAGTCTATAGTCTAGTCTATAGTCTAGTCTATAGTCTAGTCTATAGTCTAGTCTATAGTCTAGTCTATAGTCTAGTCTATAGTCTAGTCTATAGTCTAGTCTATAGTCTAGTCTATAGTCTAGTCTATAGTCTAGTCTATAGTCTAGTCCATAGTCTAATCTATAGTCTAGTCTATAGTCTAGTCTATAGTCTAGTCTATAGTCTAGTCTATAGTCTAGTCTATAGTCTAGTCTATAGTCTAGTCTATAGTCTAGTCTATAGTCTAGTCTATAGTCTAGTCTATAGTCTAGTCTATAGTCTAGTCTATAGTCTAGTCTATAGTCTAGTCTATAGTCTAGTCTATAGTCTAGTCTATAGTCTAGTCTATAGTCTAGTCTATAGTCTAGTCTATAGTCTAGTCTATAGTCTAGTCTATAGTCTAGTCTATAGTCTAGTCTATAGTCTAGTCTATAGTCTAGTCTATAGTCTAGTCTATAGTCTAGTCTATGGTCTATTCTATAGTCTAGCCTATAGTCTAGTCTATAGTCTAGTCTATAGTCTAGTCTATCTAGTCTATAGTCTAGTCTATAGTCTAGTCTATAGTCTAGTCTATAGTCTAGTCTATAGTCTAGTCTATAGTCTAGTCTATAGTCTAGTCTATAGTCTAGTCTATAGTCTAGTCTATAGTCTAGTCTATAGTCTAGTCTATAGTCTAGTCTATAGTCTAGTCTATAGTCTAGTCTATAGTCTAGTCTATAGTCTAGTCTATAGTCTAGTCTATAGTCTAGTCTATAGTCTAGTCTATAGTCTAGTCTATAGTCTAGTCTATAGTCTAGTCTATAGTCTAGTCTATAGTCTAGTCTATAGTCTAGTCTATAGTCTAGTCTATAGTCTAGTCTATAGTCTAGTCTATAGTCTAGTCTATAGTCTAGTCTATAGTCTAGTCTATAGTCTAGTCTATAGTCTAGTCTATAGTCTAGTCTATAGTCTAGTCTATAGTCTAGTCTATAGTCTAGTCTATAGTCTAGTCTATAGTCTAGTCTATAGTCTAGTCTATAGTCTAGTCTATAGTCTAGTCTATAGTCTAGTCTATAGTCTAGTCTATAGTCTAGTCTATAGTCTAGTCTATAGTCTAGTCTATAGTCTAGTCTATAGTCTAGTCTATAGTCTAGTCTATAGTCTAGTCTATAGTCTAGTCTATAGTCTAGTCTATATTCTAGTCTATAGTCTAGTCTATAGTCTAGTCTAGTCTAGTCTATAGTCTAGTCTATAGTCTAGTCTGTAGTCTAGTCTTTCGTCTAGTCTTTTGTCTAGTCTTTAGTCTAGTCGTTTGTCTAGTCTATAGTTTAGTCCTTATACTAGTCAATAGTCTAGTCCTTAGTCTATGGTCTGGTCCTTAGTATAGTCTTTAGTCTAGTCTATTCTTTAGTCTAAAGTCTTGTCTCTAAAGGTCACTGTAGGTCATATTTTGAACAAATTTTTAATTTAAGTTCTATTTTTTTTAACTGTAATAGTCTGGACTTACTGTCATAAATCTCCCGAACACCTTGGAAAAATCTGGGTATATATTTCTCAAATACCGATAGAGTGGTATTAAGATCCTCTAAAACTCCCACTACAGCATATTGACTTTCGACTGCATGTTTAGCTCTTTCTAAAGCGCCTACAGTATTAAAGGGTCTGGAATAGATTAAAAAATAATTAAATTTTCGAAAACAATTAAAAATTCTCTCTTCCTGAACTCACGTGCACTCATAGGCATGACCACAAAAGAACAAACTCTGACGGCGATGATCACCTATGCCCTCCACGGTAACGCCCTGGGTGTAAGTGCACTCCTGATCACCCGACAAGACACACGATTCAAAATCCTTTTTCAACCAGGCCGGATGTGGTAGTGGTAAATCGGGAAAGGCGGCTTTACGTTCGACAAAATACCAAGGAGCTCGGACGTAATAGAACCAACTGATAACTCTCTCCACCGGATCACGCACCACATTTATATAGATGGGAGTGGGCAATTTGAATTTGGTGAAATTCGTATAGCAGACATGTTTAATAAACACCGATGGTTCGGGTAAATCACTAATAACTTCGGCCAATTCTTGCTGTTGATCTTCGGCCAAACGTATGGTTTCAACTTTTTGCACTGCATCACGATGAAATTGAAAATTATTACGTTCCGATAGACGTCTCAAAAGTTCCATAAAAGTTTGACTGCCCACTTTGGGTACACGATTAAAGAACACCAAATCCAATTGGGCCTTACGGGTATTATTGAGATCATGGACATTAAGAGACTGCATCTATGTTTTGGGGAGAATGTAAAAAAGAGGGGAACAATTTAAAATTTGGAATATTATAAGGGGAAAAATAGATAAAATTTTTACTTAACCCTGGTGATTGATATGCTTGGGTAACTGAATTTTTTTCTTAATTAAAACACATTTTTTATTGGTTTTATAAGAATCAGTTTTATTTATTCAAAATTGTACTAAAGGTGTCTAGGGGTTTTGTATAATTCCCCTTAATAATGTGGGTACTTTTTATCAATATTTAGTGCCAAATATTGTTTATATAATCTTTGTTTACAGAAATAATAGAAATCATATTCATTGGTAAAGTTCTTCCTCATCATTTGACGGACATCATCATCGATTTTGGGTTTCCGATTATTGCGATTGCGATTACGTACTTGTTCATTGTGTACTAAAAAAAGAAATGGTGCAACAATAAGGAAAATAGTACTAAATTTAAAATATAAAATTACTACAAGGAATACAATTTAAGTACTTTTTTGGTACTAAAAAGGGAAATTAAGTTTGTGCTAAAACCATTTCATTATTTTTCCTCCCCTAAAAGAGAACTTGCGTCCCCTGTAGTCCTTTACCATATAGTAAAATTTGTATATCAAAACTTACATTCAAAAACTTCTCTAGCTCCCTTAAAGAAACGTGGTATGTAGTGCTCAAACACGGTTAAAGTAATATTGGTCTCCTCCCAGGTACCCACTACTGCATAATCACGTTCCACATTATGTTTAGCCAATTGTATAGCATAGGGCGAATCAAAAGGTCTATTAAGGATATAAATTATTAAACCTTATGAAGGACAAAAAACCTCACCATTCCAAACTACTAAGTACTTACACACATTCCTGATTATTGCCACAGAAAAACAATGACTGACGTTTATGATTACCCTCGACATCTTTAACGGTATAGGGTACATATTGACACTCGGGATCACCGCTGCGTACACAATGATTGAAATTTTTCTTAAACCATGCTACCGGCTTAATCGGTTCCTCTGGATGTTTATTATAGTAAATGGCATTCTTATAGGCACCTCTTATATAGAAATACCATGAGATCATACGTTCTACGGGATCACGTACTAGATTAATATAAATGGGTTTTCTCAATTGATATTTGGTAAAGTTCAACCAATTGCAATGTTCTATATAAACAGCACCCGGCTCTAGTGTAGCTATCCAATGGATTTGTTTACTTTCTTGGGCTGGCGTTCTAATACGTGCCGGTATTTGTACCGGACTGGTGTTTATAACCTTAATATTATTACGCTCCTCCATTTTCTGCAAAAGTTCCATCAGAGATTCGCTGCCTACTTTGGCTACACGATTAAAGAATAATACATCCACATCGGCGTATTTCGTGTTGTTTAGGCGGGAGGGATTCATGCGATAGAGCTTGTTTTTGGGAGAGGTGTGAGTTAGAGCATATTAAGGTAAAAGTAGTTTTAATTAAAGAGCTTTTGAGCTTTTAACATGATAGTATAATGGAGGAAATGTTAGTTTGGAAATTATTTTAGAGGATAATTAATTTATAAAAACTTCCTTAAACTCAAGAAATTTTGGAGTAATATTTGAAGTCAATAGTCTAGTATGTAGTATACTTTATAGTCTAGTCTCAAGTCTAGTCTATAGCGTGTAATCTGGTGTATAGTCTGGTATATAGTCCCAGTCTATAGTCTAGTCTATGGTCCCAGTCTATAGTAAAGTCTAGTCTGGTCTATAGTGTCGTATATAGTCTAGTCTATAGTATAGTCTATAGTCTAGTCTATAGTCTAGTCTATAGTCTAGTCTATAGTGGTCTATAGTGTCGTATATAGTCTAGTCTATAGTATAGTCTAGTCTATAGTCTAGTCTATAGTCTAGTCTATAGTCTAGTCTACAGTCTAGTCTATAGTCTAGTCTATAGTCTAGTCTATAGTCTAGTCTATAGTCTAGTCTATAGTCTAGTCTATAGTCTAGTCTATAGTCTAGTCTATAGTCTAGTCTATAGTCTAGTCTATAGTCTAGTCTATAGTCTAGTCTATAGTCTAGTCTATAGTCTAGTCTATAGTCTAGTCTATAGTCTAGTCTATAGTCTAGTCTATAGTCTAGTCTATAGTCTAGTCTATAGTCTAGTCTATAGTCTAGTCTATAGTCTAGTCTATAGTCTAGTCTATAGTCTAGTCTATAGTCTAGTCTATAGTCTAGTCTATAGTCTAGTCTATAGTCTAGTCTATTCTAGTATATAGTCTAGTCTAGTATTGTCTATATTCTAGTCTATAGTCTAGTCTATAGTCTAGTCTAAATGCTAGTCTTCAGTCTAGTCTATGGTCTATATTTTAGTCTATAGTCTAGTCTATAGTCTATTCTATAGTTTAGTCTATAGTCTAGTCCATAGTCTAGTCTATAGTCAAGTCTTTAGTCTAGTGTATGGTTTAGTGTATAGTCTAGTCTATAATCTAGTCTATAGTATAGTATATAATCTAGCGTATAGTCTAGACTATAGTGTAGTCTACAGTCTAGCCTATAGTCTAGTCTATAGTCCCGTTTTTAGTGTAGTCTGTATGCAAGTCCATAGTCTAGTGTATAGTATATTTTATAGTAGATTCTATAGTCCCCCCATAGTCCCGTCTAGTTAAGATTGTTATTTTAGTAAAATATTTTTAAAATTACACTCACAACACGACTTCTTAGAAGCCTTTTCCATAGGACAACACATGGAGGAGGATCCCAAGTTTTGAAATAAGATTTTTCATTAGCTTTTTCCAGTTTAAAAGCTTTTAAGCTTCCCTTTTGAAATAAAACACTTTTGAATAAATATTTTTTGCTTTAATTTTGAACGATTTTATTTAAAAATTTACATATAGATTTATTAAAAACTTATTCCAATAAATTATGGGCCTGCAACTCTTTCAAACTAACGGCCAAATATTGCTTATATAAACGCTGTTTACAGAAATAGTAAAATTCATATTCGTGAGTGAAATTTTTACGTATCATTTCCTTGACATCAGCATCAATTTTGGGTTTACGTTTATTTTTATTACGATTGGTAACCTTATCCATGTTCACTGTAATTGAGAGTAAAAATTAGGGACTTAGTAGAAAGTTTTTGTAGTAGTAGAAGTAAAACTGAAACTTACATTCAAATAATAGTTTGGCACCATTAAAGAATTTCGGTATGTATTTTTCGAATACTGTTAGAGTAATATTGGTCTCTTCCCAGGTACCTACGACAGCATAGTCACGTTCTACATGCTCTTTAGCCATTTGTACTGCAGCGGGTGAGTTAAATGGTCTGTTGGAGGGGGGAGGCGGTGATTGATTAGAATATTTGATCAGTTGGGAATCGATTTTATAGCTTTTTCTACATAAAATGGTAATGTGTTCAACAACAACTGTTTTGCAAAAGGAACTATTCCGAAATTTTATTCATAATGGTGGATTTTTAGAAAGATGTAAATTTTCATTCACAATAGTCGAAATTTTCTCTAATATTTTGACTATTTCTCTAATATTTTGGACTCGAGGGTGTCTTGAGTCTAGCTCGCCATTAGCCGAGAACTTATCAAAATCTTGTAGATCTAGGGGTTAAAATTGACATTAACTTTCGTCTCTTCTGAGCTAAGTAACAGTTTCGTGTTGGGGTAGCAATTAATTCAGAATATAAATCTGTTCAAATCTATGGGGTTTGAGAACTCAGTTTAAGTAAAAAAGTCTAAATAAAAGAAATATTCTAACAGGCCCAACTTGACTTAAATTTTTTGTCCCTCAAAACTTTGGTTGAACTATTCGAACGATTTGGTTGAATCCAGCCGATCCATATATATATATATATACTTACATACAATCATCATGATGACCACAAAAGAATAACGATTGCCTCTTAAAATTACCCACATAATCCTTAACACTAAACGGTACATATTGACACTCCGGATCACCGCTACGCACACAATGATTGAAATCTTTTTTATACCACGATACTGGTCTCATGGGCTTATTGGGAGCTTTATTATATTCAATAGCATTCTTATAGGCACCTCTAGCATAAAAATACCACGATATAACTCTTTCCACCGGATCACGCACCATATTTATATAAATCGGTTTAGGCAAATCAAACTCTTCAAAATCGATCCAATTAACATGTTGTATCCATATGGAACCGTCCGTAAGTTCTGAAATTCTCTCGGCCAGTTCACGTTGTTCGATATTGTTGAATTGTCGCTTAGTGGGCTCATGTAGGCCATCACGTTCCAGGGTTAAACCTTCATTGAAATTTTCTAAAACACCAATTAGCTCTAGAAGAGCTTCACTGCCGACTTTGGCACAACGATTGAAAAATATGACATCTATTTCAGCTTTACGGGTATTATTCAGTCTATAGGCGTTTAAGCTTTTAAGCTAAACGTTGTAAAGGGAAGGAGGGAGAGAGAGAGAGAGACAGGTACATGTATAAGGGGAAGGTCGGAATATATATATTTTGATATTAAAGCTGTTGGGCAAAAAGCTTTAGAACCATGATATTTATGGCATTAGTTAGGGTTTTTGTTAAAGGAAATATTTGAAAAAGCGTGGAACAAGAAATTCGGAAAAATATTTATATATCGGTTGATATTCAAAAGCAATTTAAAAGCATTTCCTAAAGCCAATATTTAAAAAAATAAAATGCAAAGATCTTCTTCAAAAATTCAGAAAATATTCGGCTGATTTTAAGCAACTATATATACAAAAACAAAAAAGCAATGATTCAAGATTCAAGAAATCCCTAAAGAAAAGCGAAAAAGCTTCTATTTGAACTTGTGTCCCCTCGTACTGTCATACTTACATACAATCCACATGATGACCACAAAAGAATAACGACTGACGACGAAAATCATAGGCACCATCTACCGTACTATATGGTATATACTGACACTCTGGATCACCGCTGCGAACACACTTATTGAAATCTTTAACATACCACTCACGTGGTCTCATCGGCCGTTTGGGTTGTTTTTGAAACTGTATAGCATTGCGATAAGCACTGCGGGCATAATAATACCATGATATAACTCTTTCCACCGGATCTCTTACCATATTTATATAAATCGGTTTGGGTAAATTAAACTCCTCGAAATCTAACCAATTTATATGTTGTATATAAATCGTACCATCTATAGATTCCGCTATAGTTTCGGCATATTTACGTTGCTCTGGTCGTTTGTGTTCTCTTAAGGTCATTTGTTGAAGACCCTCATGTTCAACACTAATATTATCATTGAATTTTTCCAAAATCATAAGCAGTTCATAGAGCGCCTCACTACCGACTTTTGTACAACGATTAAAGAATAGCACCTCTATATCGGCTTTGGGAGTATTGTTTAAGCGTTGGGCGTTTAACTGTTTAAGCTATTTGAGTTTTAAATTACAGCAGTCAAGAATAGTTATAGAAAATCCCAGCGTTAGTTTATTTATAATTGATAATATTATATTTTTTTTGCCATGAAATGAGGTGCTTCTAGTGTAGAACCGCCATAAACCAAAATGAAAAGTTAGGGAAATTTCGGGTTAGATTTGTTAAGGGAAATTTTAAGGGGAAAAATTGGTATAAATGCCTAAAAGTTTCATACTTGGTTTGCTAATACTCTACTGTCTGAAGCACCTTATCAAATCATTTTTAAAACTCCAATTTCAAAAGCTTTTACTCAGTTAATGGTTTCATATATGTAAATGCGAAAAACCTGGCCAAAACAAAAACTACATCAATAATGTTAAATTATGACTTCAAACCCAAGTCGAATCAAATCAAGTCTATAGTGGAGTCTAAAGTATAATTTATAGTCTAGTCTATAGTCTAGTCTATAGTCTAGTCTATGGTCTAGTCTATAGTCTAGTCTATAGTCTAGTCTATAGTCTAGTCTATAGTCTAGTCTATAGTCTAGTCTATGGTCTAGTCTATAGTCTAGTCTATGGTCTAGTCTATAGTCTAGTCTATAGTCTAGTCTATAGTCTAGTCTATAGTCTAGTCTATAGTCTAGTCTATAGTCTAGTATAGTCTAGTCTATAGTCTAGTCTATAGTCTAGTCTATAGTCTAGTCTATAGTCTAGTCTATAGTCTAGTCTATAGTCTAGTCTATAGTCTAGTCTATAGTCTAGTCTATAGTCTAGTCTATAGTCTAGTCTATAGTCTCTATAGTCTAGTCTATAGTCTAGTCTATAGTCTGATCTATAGTCTAGTCTATAGTCTAGTCTATAGTCTAGTCTAAAGTCTAGTCTATAGTCTAGTCTATAGTCTAGTCTATAGTCTAGTCTATAGTCTAGTCTATAGTCTAGTCTATAGTCTAGTCTATAGTCTAGTCTATAGTCTAGTCTATAGTCTAGTCTATAGTCTAGTCTATAGTCTAGTCTATAGTCTAGTCTATAGTCTAGTCTATAGTCTAGTATAGTCTCTATAGTCTAGTCTATAGTCTAGTCTATAGTCTAGTCTATAGTCTAGTCTATAGTCTAGTCTAGTCAGTCTAGTCTATGTCTAGTCTATAGTCTAGTCTATAGTCTAGTCTATAGTCTAGTCTATAGTCTAGTCTAGTCTAGTCTATAGTCTAGCTATAGTCTAGTCTATAGTCTAGTCTATAGTCTAGTCTATAGTCTAGTCTATAGTCTAGTCTATAGTCTAGTCTATAGTCTAGTCTATAGTCTAGTCTATAGTCTAGTCTATAGTCTAGTCTATAGTCTAGTCTATAGTCTAGTCTATAGTCTAGTCTATAGTCTAGTCTATAGTCTAGTCTATAGTCTAGTCTATAGTCTAGTCTATAGTCTAGTCTATAGTCTAGTCTATAGTCTGTCTATGTCTAGTCTATAGTCTAGTCTATAGGTCTAGTCTATAGTCTAGTCTATAGTCTAGTCTATAGTCTAGTCTATAGTCTAGTCTATAGTCTAGTCATAGTCTAGTCTATAGTCTAGTCTATAGTCTAGTCTATAGTCTAGTCTATAGTCTAGTCTATAGTCTAGTCTATAGTCTAGTCTATAGTCTAGTCTATAGTCTAGTCTATAGTCTAGTCTATGTCTGTCTATAGTCTAGCTTAGTCTAGTCTATAGTCTAGTCTATAGTCTAGTCTATAGTCTAGTCTATAGTCTAGTCTATAGTGCTAGTCTATAGTCTAGTCTATAGTCTAGTCTATAGTCTAGTCTAGTCTAGTCTATAGTCTAGTCTATAGTCTAGTCTATAGTCTAGTCTATAGTATAGTCTATAGTCTAGTCTATAGTCTAGTCTATAGTCTAGTCTATAGTCTAGTCTATAGTCTAGTCTATAGTCTAGTCTATAGTCTAGTCTATAGTCTAGTCTATAGTCTAGTCTATAGTCTAGTCTATAGTCTAGTCTATAGTCTAGTCTAGTCTATAGTCTAGTCTAAGTCTAGTAGTGTCTAGTCTAGTCTATAGTCTAGTCTATAGTCTAGTCTATAGTCTAGTCTATAGTCTAGTCTATAGTCTAGTCTATAGTCTAGTCTATAGTCTAGTCTATAGTCTAGTCTATAGTCTAGTCTATAGTCTAGTCTATAGTCTAGTCTATAGTCTAGTCTATAGTCTAGTCTATAGTCTAGTCTATAGTCTAGTCTATAGTCTAGTCTATAGTCTAGTCTTAGTCTAGTCTATAGTCTAGTCTATAGTATAGGGTCAGTCTGATAGGCTAGTCTAGAGAGAGTTAGTCAGTACTATAGTCTTAGTCTAGTTATTCTAGTCTATAGTCTGTCTATTAGTATAGTCTAGTCTATAGTCTAGTCTGTAGTCTAGTCTATAGTCTAGTCTAGTCAAGTCTAGTCTAGTCTAGTCTAGTCTAGTCTAGTCTAGTCTAGTCTAGTCTAGTCTAGTCTAGTATAGTCTAGTCTAGTCTAGTCTAGTCTAGTCTAGTCTAGTCTAGTCTAGTCTAGTCTAGTCTAGTCTAGTCTAGTCTAGTCTAGTCTAGTCTAGTCTAGTCTAGTCTAGTCTAGTCTAGTCTAGTCTAGTCTAGTCTAGTCTAGTCTAGTCTAGTCTAGTCTAGTCTAGTCTAGTCTAGTCTAGTCTAGTCCAGTCCATTCTAGTCTAGTCTAGTCTAGTCTAGTATAGTGTAGTGTAGTCTAGTCTAGTCTAGTCCAGTCTAGTCTAGTCTAGTCTAGTCTAGTCTAGTCTAGTCTAGTCTAGTCTAGTCTAGTCTAGTCTAGTCTAGTCTAGTCTAGTCTAGTCTATTCTAGTCTAGTCTAGTCTAGTCTAGTCTAGTGTAGTCTAGTCTAGTGTAGTCTACAGTCTGGTCTATAGTCTAGTCTATAGTCTAGTCTATAGTCTAGTCTATAGTCTAGTCTATAGTCTAGTCCTATAGTCTAGTCTATAGTCTAGTCTAATAGTCTATAGTCTAGTCTAGTCTATAGTCTAGTCTATAGTCTAATCTATAGTCTAGTCTATAGTCTAGTCTATAGTCTAATCTATAGTCTAGTCTATAGTCTAATCTATAGTCTAGTCTATAGTCCATAGTCTAGTCTAGTCTAGTCGTAGTCTAGTCTATAGTCTAGTCTATAGTCTAGTCTAGTAGTCTATAGTCTAGTCTATAGTCTAGTCTATAGTCTAGTCTATAGTCTAGTCTATAGTCTAGTCTATAGTCTAGTCTATAGTCTAGTCTATAGTCTAGTCTATAGTCTAGTCTATAGTCTAGTCTATAGTCTAGTCTATAGTCTAGTCTATAGTCTAGGTCTATAGTCTAGTCTATAGTCTAGTCTATAGTCTAGTCTATAGTCTAGTCTATAGTCTAGTCTATAGTCTAGTCTATAGTCTAGTCTATAGTCTAGTCTATAGTCTAGTCATAGTCTAGGTCTATAGTCTAGTCTATAGTCTAGTCTATAGTCTAGTCTTAGTCTAGTCTATAGTCTAGTCTATAGTCTAGGCTATAGTCTAGTCTATAGTCAAGTCTATAGTCTAGTCTATAGTCTAGTCTAAAGTCTAGTATATAGCCCAGTCTATAGTCTAGTCCATAGTGTAGTGTATAGTCTAGTCTATAGTCTAGCCTATAGTCTAGTCTATAGTCTAGTCTATAGTGTAGTCTTTAAACTAGTCAATTGTCTAGTCAATTGTCTAGTCTATAGTTTAGTCTTTAGTCTAGTCTATAGTTTAGTATATAATCTAGTCTATAGTCTTTTCTATAGTCTAGTCTAAAGTCTAGTCTATAGTCTATTGTCTATTATAAGAATGTAGCTTATAGAAAGCTCTTTCTCGCTTGCTTATTATTTGAGAGCGTTTATGTTCTCAAAGTTTTAGTTATAGAGGTTACCAATGAGTTCAGAACCCCGATTTTGGAGTCGTAGATTTGTTTAAGGGCCCTAGATCTTGCAAAGTTCGTTAGCAAACACTAATTGAAGTGAAAAATAACAATTAAATTTTTTAAAATTTTCGCTTATAAATTTATTTTCCAAACTTAATGCAATTTCATTAAAGCTTTCTTTATAAATGACATTTTCTCCTGCTCTTCCTTAAGGACCAATTGTTGTAAGTCATTCTTTTTGATAGCCAAATATTGCTTGTGCAAACGCTGACGACAAAATTGATAGAACTCATATTCGCGGGTGAAATTCTGACGCACCATCTGTTTGATGTCTTCGCTAATGTGAGGCTTAAAGGGATTGCTATTTTGGATATCTGAATTAAGACCATCTAAAACAAGATAATGTGATTAGAAAAGACCTTCTTAACTAAGGAGTGGAAAAAGCTTACTGTAATACATCTTAGTGGCTCCCTTGAAATAACGTGGAACATAGTTTTCCAAAACACTTAAGGTAATATTGGTATCCTCCCAAGTGCCCACTACAGCATATTCTTTTTCCACCGTACGCTTGGCCATTTCTAGGGGAATTTTCGTATTAAAGGGCCTAGAAGGCAAGAAGTTATAGAAGATTATCTAATGTTAAGGATATAACAACTAACACTTACATGCATTTCTTAGCATTATTGCCACAAAAGAATAGGGTTTGTCTTCTATGATCACCCACTTTTTCCAAACCGGATCCCTCGATAAAGGTACACACTTTATCCTTGTTCATAACACACTGATCGAATTCCGTATTAACCCATTGGGGATTGGGCATTTTTCTCTTATTTTTCCTACGACCGGGTATAAAAATCCAGGGTGAACGTATATAATAATACCAGCTAATAACTCTTTCCACCGGATCTCTAACCATATTAATATAAATGGGACGTGGTTGACCGTAATCGGTAAAATTAAGATAATTCATGTGCGAAACAAATGCCATGCCATCTTCGAAATTACTTATATTCTCTATGGTATGCTCTTCTTCCTGTTCATCGAGTGAGGGTCTTATGCCACCATTATTGGGATCAACTTCCACCTCATAATCGTGCATTTTTCCCAAATTTTTCATTAACGTAATCAATTGCATACTGCCCGTTTTGGGTACACGATTATAGAATAATATATCGACTTCGGCTTTTTTCGTATTATTCAAGAGATCGGCATTGAGGGTATATAGCTGGCAAAAATAAAAATTATTTATTTTTGTTGAGAGTTTTTGGAAAAAGATTTGGTGGATAATGATTTGATTTTTTTGTTGTTGGTGGCACCCCAAACCATTTTAAAGAGAATATTTGTATGTGGTAAAAGCTTTTAGAAGATCGGTTAGAATATGGTGAAAGGAAATGGAAAAGATAATTACAAGGGCTAAGCAAAAACTAGCGGTTTCTAATGAAACTAACCTAAAAAAAGCTGGCATTATTGGTAGATTTTAAAATTTCAGATATTTTATCGGATTTCTGATCAGAAATCGAGTGTACGATAGATTGAAAAAGCTGAACTAGAGATTATAATACATATAGTGCGGACTGATCTATAGTATTGACAGTAGACTTGACCGAAAACTTTACACGATTCAAACTGTAGATTTGACTAAATATACTGGACTATAGACATGAGTTTAGTTCAGACTATGGTCAAGTCTATAGTCCAGACTATTGTCAAGTCTAAAGTCTATTGTCATGTTCAAAGTCTATAGACATTACTATAGTCTGGACTATAGACTTGACTATAGTCTGGATTATAACTTTACTATAGTCTGGACTATAGGCTTGACTATAGTCTGGACTTTAGACTTGACTATAGTCTGGACTATAGACATGACCATAGACTTGACTATAGTCTGGACTATGGACTTGACTATAGTCTGGACTATAAACTTGACTATAGTTTGGACTATAGACTTGACTATAGTCTGGACTATAGACTTGACTATAGTCTGGACTATAGGCTTGACTATAATCTGGACTATAGACTTGACTATAATCTGGACTATAGACTTGACTATAGTCTGGACTATGGACTTGACTATAGTCTGGACTATAGACTTGACTATAGTCTGGACTATAGCTTGATTGTAGTCTGGACTGTAGATGTGCCTATAGTCTGGACTATAGACTTGACTATAGTATGGACTATAGACTTGACTAAAGTCTAAACTATAGAATTGACTTAGTATGGACTTGACTATATTTCATGCTCTATAATTGAACTATAGTTTCGATTATAGATCATTCGTTAACAAATCGGTTCCCAGAATGGTAAATATATCTTAAGCTACTGAGTCTTTAACAAGAATATTTCAATACAATAGTAAAGACCTTAGATTTGGCTATAGTCTGGACTATAGATTTGACTATAGTCTGGACTATAGCTTTGATTATAGTCTGGACTGTAGACGTGCCTATAGTCTGGACTATAGACTTGGCTATAACCTGGACTATAGTCTGGACTATAGACTTGACTAAAGTCTGAACTATAGAATTGACTATAGTATGGACTTGACTATAATTTTCGCTATAATCTTAACTATAGTTTCAATTATAGATCATTCGTTAACAAATCGGTTCCCAGAATGGTAAATATATCTTAAGCTATTGAGTCTTTAACAAGAATATTTCAGAAAAGAAAAATACCTTAAAATACATCAACTGCAGGTCCCGAAAGATTCTTAATTTCGCTTATGTCAGAATAGGCTAGAGAGTCCAGGCTAGAGTTCTTAAACTGGGATATATCAGAAATAGTCTTAAGCTCTCAGAATAGCTAACTTTTGGTAAAGTTGTCAAATTTAAACATGAGGAAATTGTGTTCAAAAAACTTTTTTATTACAATTAAAAAGCTGTAAATATAAATGCTTAAAAGGTTTCTTATGAATGTTATAAAGCTTTATGTTACAAAAGATTATGTAACTGCTCTAAGGCTTTTTATGAAAGCTAAATAAGCTTTATTTTTTATAGCTTCTAAGCTTTTAATGAAAGCTACAATGTTTAAAAAAAGCTTGATTTTTCAAAAAAACTTTTTGTGAAAGCTTTTGGCTTACATAAAAAGCTTTTTTGAAAAAGTTAAAAATATTTTATAAAAGCTTCTTTACTTTGAATGAAAGCTACAATGCTTTTTTATAATTTACTTAAGTGTTTTTCTAAAAGCTACAAAGCTTTTTTGTTTCTAACTTTCTAATCAAGCAAATAAAACGCTTTTTTAAAGTTTTCTTTAAATT